TCATTTTATTATTTCAAATTCTAGTGATCCACTGAATACATTAATTCAATAACAGTTAACTCAATTATCTGGAAGTGGTTTTGAGATTAAGATATTCTTCAAAATAATAATCATGCTTTTGTGAGAGCTATCATAAGCACTAAAAAAACAGCCATCTACATACTAGCAGTATCTATTCATTCAAATTATAGAAACCAAAAACAATACATCTTAATGTCACCCAGAAACACCCTATCCCTAGCAGACTAAGGCTGCATTGTTCAAAGAAACATGCAAGCCACATACATAATTTAAAATGTTCTAGTATATACATTTTTTTTTTTGAGACAGAGTTTCACTCAGCAGTGCAACGGTGGGATCTCAGCTCACCACAACCTCCACCTTCCAGGTTCAAGTGATTCTCCTACCTCAGCCTCCCAAGTAGCTGGGATTACAGGCATGCACCACCATGCCCGGCTAATTTGGTATTATTAGTAGAGAAGGGGTTTCTCCATGTTGGTCAGGCTGGTCTTGAATTCCTGACCTCAGGTGATCCACCCACCTCAGTCTCCCAAAGTGCTGGGATTACAGGTATGAGCCACCATGCCTGGCTACATTTTTTTTTAAATTAGAAACAAGTAAAATTAATTGTAATAATATATTTTATTTTACCCAGTCTATCCAACATATTGTCATTTCAACATTTAATCAATATTCTATACATTGAAATTTTTTTCTACTAAATCTCAAAATCTGAGTATCTGTATTTCACACTTCACAGCACTGGCCACATTTCAAATGCTCAAAGCCACAGGGAGGGGGACGAGCATTTGTCTCCAGTATTCTCATGTTTGCAATAAACAATAGTTTAAATGAATAGCAAAGAGTAACAGGCTATGTTAGCAGACAATAATAACCTTTTAGTAATCTACATGTTTAGGATTCTAAAAGTATTGTGCACTTTTGAGTTTATGATCGTTTTCACCACATTTTAACTAGTGTAGCTGTAATGGTACTTGGGGTTACCCATACCCTCCCTTTTCCACTCCACTTCCTCACCCGCTCCCCTTCCCTAAATTATTTCAAGTTACGGAAAAAGAACCTACCTTCAGGTGGTGCTTTCTACAACACATATTTAAAATTGACACAGGGAGGGTCAATGGTAAGGCACAGAAAAATTCTGGAAGGTGGACAGAAATGTCCAGAGAATTCCACACAAGTCTTGAAATGGTAAAATAACTTTTTTTTTTCTGAGACAGGGTCTCACTCTGGTTGCCCAGGCTGGAGTGCAGTGGCGCAATCTTGGCTCACTGCATCCTCGATCTCCTGGGCTCAGGTGATTCTTCCATCTCATCCTCCTGAGTAGCTGGGACTACAGGTGTGGGCCACCATACCTAGCTAACTTTTTTCAGTAGAGGCAGAGTTTTGCTATGTTGGTCAGGCTGTTCTCAAACTCCTGGACTCAAGCAATCTACCTGCCTTAGCCTCCCAGAGTACTGGGATTACAGGTGTGAGCTACCACACCCAGCTGTGTTATAACATTAATAAAAAAGAACAGAGGCCAGATATTCTTAAGCCGTGATTCAACTAAACCATGCAAACAGCTTAATGCTAGAATAGGGAAGAGGAAAGCGGGCCAAAATAAGTCACGAAAAGCTCCCCTCTCACCCTCCTGCCTCTCTACCCCATCCCTCAGGAGAATTTGAGTAGGATCATTCTCCAAAGATTTGATTATAGCCAAGTATTTCCTTTAACTGACTGGCTCTTTCTAGACACCAGACCAAATTCTCCTTCGTTAATCTATTAAAGTACCTAATAAGTTAAAATACCAGACAATAAATTCTGCCTGTGAAAAAACAAACTGCTGAACTGGGTGTGGCTACACTATCTGGGGTGGAGTGTGATGGGAGAAGACTATGTATTTTAGTCGAAAGAAGTCAAAGTACATCAGGGTTCAAGTTTAAAACAAACTCAACAACTCAAACACTGCAACAACAGGATGTTTAACACTTTCTTTTTGCCAAATATAATTACGCGGTTACAAAGTGTTTACCATTGCTTAAAATGAAAAATTGAGGAAACCAAAATTACAGCTCAGTAGTTCTCAGCCCTTTGATGAGTTATGTTTGTTACCCAGAAACCTATCCCTATCAATTAGATTACACTTTTAAAAAGTTAAAAAGAAATCAAAATATTATAATTCTTTTAGTTCAGTGGACTTCATGATGGCCACTTCAAATAATGAAAGTAATTAAAGTGGCAAATCATCAGTGAAGTCTTTAGACACCTATTTACGTTTTAAAAATTAGATACTAAACCAACATTATGTCATTTGTACAAATATTTTACACACACACAGAAAACCAATTTGAAATACAGCAAGGATTATCTCTAGGTAATTATGGTTTTTGTTTTTTTTTTTGAGACAAGAGTTTTTTTCCTGCCACCGAGGCTGGAGTGCAATGGTGTGATATTGGCTCACTGCAAACTCCGCCTCCTGGGTTCCTGATTTTCTTGCTTCAGCCTTCCTCCTAGTTGGGATTACAGGCGACTGCCACCACATCCGTCCAGTTTTTGCATTTTTAGTAAACACATGGTTTCACCAAGTTGGCCAGGCTAGTCTCAAACTCCTGACCTCAGAGGATCTGCCCGCCTCCGCCTCCGAAAGTGCTGGGATTACAGGCATGAGCCAACTAGCCTGACTTAACTTTAATGTTTTCTGCAATGATCACACATTATTCTTAAAACTAGAAGGAAAAACAAAACAGGCAAGCAGGAACTGAGGTAGTACCAATCAGTTTGGGATTATATTGAATTGTGCTATCCTTCATCCATAACCTCTAAGGAAAAACCATTCAGAGCCCTTGAAGAAAGGAACCTTGGCTTTTCTAAAATACATACTCGATTACATTCAGATATACAATAATATATGATGCACACATTAATATGTCTTCTTTGAAAAAGCAGAACAATTTTGTACCCTTGCAAAACAAGTAACAGCTATGAGTGGGGGCTCACGGAATAAGAGAAGGCACAAGACATTTGTCTTGATCCAAAACAAAAACTGTAAGTCTTCCACTAAACACCACTGTTCACTTTAAAAATAGTTCATTCTATGTCAATTTCACTTCAATTAATTAATTATAAAAGTAAACCTAAAGGCCGGGCGAGGGACTCACACCTACAATCCCAGCACTTTGGGATGCCACAGCGGTAGGATCGCTTGAGTTCAGGAGTTAGAAATCAGCCTGGGCAACATGGTGAAACCCCATTTCTACAAAAAGTAGAAAAATAAGCCAGGCGTAGTGGTGCACGCCTGTAGTCCCAGCTACTAGGGAGGCTGAAGCAGGAGGATCGCTTGAGCGAGGCAGAGGCTGCAGTGAGCCTAGATCGAGCCACTGAGACCCTGTGTCCTAAATAAATCTAGCAACGTTACTTTCTAAATACCCCATATTGAATAAACACTGTTTAAATACTACTTTACCCCCAATCGATCCAATTTTTTTTTTAAAGAAAACTCCTGTTTTCTCTATTCTAGAGCAACAAATAAGTACTGCTCATCAATGTGGAAGCTACTGCGGTGCTGGAATGAGTAGGAAGGTACAAAAAAATACAATGTAATAATACACCTTCTTTCCTTACAGCAATGGTGGAGTGATATAAACAGAGGCCACAAAACAGTCATGAGTGATTTTGCTGTTTTTAATAAAGGTTAAGTACTATTGCCTTTAAAGAATTTGGAGTGACAAGCCAGGGAAGATTTCAACAGGCAAAAGAGCAGAATTAGGGCACAGAGCAGAGCTGGGTGGGTCTCATTACACTTCTAATCCTCGATGACAGCACAAAGCCACCCCTCCTTGTGCTTGAGTGTACACGGACATTGATTGAAAATGTACTGAAATCCAACTCATCCACCAAGCAAGGCTAAAGGCGCGCACACGTGGAATTCAACAGCGCTGCGTTCGCGTGGCTGGAGGGCAGACGGGGAATATTCCATTTTACTTAGTAGTGTACCAACACCTAGCTGTAGGCTTAAACCTGCTTAACAAAAGCTGGCAGAGGACTGGATGCACACCATCAGCCCTCTCCCGAGCGCCGATCGGCCTCGCCCCGCCTCTGTGCTGCACCCCGGGCGCAGGCGGACAGGGGCAGGGCCGCCACCAGCCTCCGCCAGGCCGACCCCAACGCGGTGTTACCGGACAGACCCGCAAGGGCCACCCCACAGCCCTACGGGCGACACCTCTGCGGGCCGGCCCCCCGCCCCATTCCCGGACGCCAGCTTGGGGAGGCAGGCCGGGGGCCTAGCCATCAATGGCAGGTGGGCGGCACGGCCTCCGCAGACAAAGCTAGGCACCCCAGCAGACAGGACAAGACCATATGCCCCACGCGCCCGCAACCGGTCGGCCCCGGAGCCCGGCCCGCGCCGCCACCCCCGGCCCGGCGCCCAGCCCCCGGACCCCGTTGCTCGGCCCCCGGCCGGCGAAGACCTGCCCACCGCGCCCGGAGCGCCAGCGCAACCGCCGCCGCCGGAGCGCGCAGGCCGCCCAACCGCCGTCCCGGCCCAACCAACGCGGGCAGGGGAGTAGAGGTGCGCGCGGCCGACGGAGCGTGCGAGCCACTCGGGGGTCGCAGGGGGAGGCTGCGCGCGGCGGAGGCAGGGGCAAGGAGGCGCCGAGGCCGGCGCTGAACGCGGCGCCAGGAGGGCCTGCTTGTGTGGGCTTTGCCCCTTTCCCGTAGGAAGGTGCAGATGGTTTGACCCCCCACCCCGAGTGAGGTGCCTCGTCCCAGCCCCGGCTGGACTGTACCATCGGGCGGTGCCGCCGGGATTTCTCCCCCCCACCACCACCATCAATTCCCCCCCCACCCGGGTCCGCGGTCGGTTGGCCCCGGCCGGGCTCTGAGACGCGGAAAGAGCTGGGCGCCATTTTGGGTGGGACTAAGCAAAGACGAAACACCCTCCCAGTCTATGGGGTACTCTGGACCCTGGCTTATCTGGTTCCCTCAATCCTTTAGGTACTTACACGACGTTGGGTGAGGGGAGCTGGAAGATCAGCGGGTCCCCGATCCTCTCTCCCTAGGGGTGATAGAAATCAAACCCCCCCCGCCACCTCCAGGTGGTTCTTCCCGCCGCAGAGTGGGAGCAGCAGAAAAGGCGGGGTCTTATTAGCATAATCTGCCTGGCAACCTGATCTCGATGTTATATGATTGGTTAAACTCTGTAAGCCCCATGCCGTGCCTAGAGACGAGAAACGCTGGGGCGAACTGACAGGCCCAGATTTAGGAGTCATGACGAAGATCCTGAGACGCTTATTCAGTGTGCAGAGAAGCCAAAAGGAGATTCACAGAATGGCCCAATGACTGAAGGTCTCTTTATTTCGTACTCTGCGGTTCGTGTAAAACCCAATCGCAGAGCGGGTCTCAGGCGGCGCTCGCCTGCGTTTCTACTCTCAGCCAATCAGAAAGCCCGGCTCTTCGCATTGGGGTCAAGCTCCTGCTGTTGCCAGACGCGGGAGTTGTTGTCGCTGCTGCCGCGAGGCTGGTCCCGCCTCCTGGTCCCAAGGGCCTGGGGTTCCTGGGAAGCGCGCGCGAGTGAGGCGGCCCTCGCGTCCGTCCGCCCCATCACGGGTTGCGTCAGAAGCGGCCTGGCCGCGGAGCGCCGGCGAAAACCGAATTCTCGTCCAGCGCAACCCGGGCTCGGCGCGGCCGGGTTACGACTGCCGGGGTCTCGCCCTCAGAACCCCCAAGGAGCGGCTCACCGCCGCCAATCACCCTGACCCACCGCACCTTGAGAGCGCTTTCACTGCGCCTCTCCTTTCCCCTCTACCACTCTGGAAAGGAAGTGATTGTCATTTCAGACACTGAGAACTATTATTCAACACTGGTTACCCAGTGACTCAGCTCACTCCTTAACCGTTGGCTTCCACATCCTGCTGTCCCTTAAAATTGCCTTCTCAAAGGGCAGCCAAGAGCCCAGCTTTGGAGAGACACCCAGCTCTCCAGTGGGTGTGTACCCACTGGTAGGCAGTACGCATGGCAGCTAGATGGCAGAGAGCCCTTGGATCTTCGGACCTTCAGGGAGCGACCCTCCCTTCCATGATACCTACCTTGCTACGTTATTTTGAAGATTAAATGAGTTCTTTAAAGTACCGAGTAAAGTGCTTTGCTTAGCACACTGTCTGGAACTTAAATGAGAAGGACTGACGAAATTAGCTACAAAAAGCCTAAACGATTGCCTAACGGAGAAAAAGAGGGAGACAGGACAACTAAGCAAAAGACGGAAATAGAAAACACCCATAGCAGGAAAAACTGTAAAATTAACTCAATAGTATTCTCTTCACTGGTTTGTTTTTGCTGTTTGTTTTTGATAACGAAGTCTCGCTCAGTCGCCCAGGCTGGAGCGCAGTGGTGAGATCTGGGCTCACTGCCATCTCAGCCTCTCGGTTTCAAGCGATTCTCCTGCCTCAGCCTCCCGAGTAGGTGGGACTACGGGCGCCCATCACCATGTCCTCTCAAATTCTAACCTCAAGTGATCCTCCCGCCTCAGCCTTCCAAAGCGCTGAGATTACAGGCGTGAGCCACCGTGCCTAGTCTACCACTTTGTTATTTAAATAGCTGCAAACAGCCAGACGCAATGGCTCATTCCTGTAATCCCAGCACCTTGGGAGGCCTAGGCTGGCAGATCACTGGGTCAGGAGTTCGAGACCAGCCTGACCAACATGGTGAAACCCGTCTCTACTAAAAATACAAAAATTAGCGGAGGGTGGTGGTGCGCACCTGTAATCCCAGCTACTCAGGAGGCTGAGACAGGAGAGTCTCTTGAACCTGAGAGGCAGCCGTTACAGTGGGCCGAGATCATGCCACTGCACTCCAGCCTGGGTGACAAGAGTGAGACTCCATGTCAAAAAAAAAGAAGAAAAAGAAAAAGAAAGAAAAGTTGGAAATAATGTGGAAGAGAGCCTTTTTTTTTTTTTTTTTTTTGGTAACTTCGTGGCAGGGGAGGGTGGCTCATGCCTGTAATCCCAACACTTTGGGAGACAGAGGTGGGTGGGTCGCTTGAGCTAAGGAGTTTGAGACCAGCCTGGGCAATAGTGAAACTCTGTACATTAAAAAAAAAAAAAAAAATTAGCCAGGCATGGCAGTACACTTCTGGGTTCCAGTTACTGGCAGGCTGCGCAGGAGGGTTGCTTGAGCTCTGGAGGTCAGGCTGCAGTGAGCTGTGATCGTGCCACTGCACTACAACCTGGGTGACAGAGCAAGCCCCAGACTTTAGAAAACAAAACAACAACTTCAGACAGTTAACTACCTTGTAAACAACTTCATGTCTGGGCCATGTCTTGTTCTTCCTTAAACCCCTTTATAGATAGCACTGGACTTAGATGAGGCTGACCTTGACACAGCTAATGAGAGATGCCAGTAGCTCTTCTCTGGGTATATAGACATGGAAGTCAGCTGCCTAGGTCATATTGGCTGAGAGAGTCACTTGAATGTTCATTCTCTTTTAGTGCTGTGAGTGGAAGGACAATGCCACTGGTTGGCAGGTCCTTCGGTGGCCTTGCAAAAGCTGCCACTCCCCATATTCCTTGGCCTCAGTGAGAACTGCTCCCTGTTAGATTTAACATTATTACATCCTTGCTGATGAACTGAGATGGTCTCTACTGGTCTGCTGACCAGAAACAACATTACAGAACCCAAAAGAGAACGCACCATGAGGAATGGGGCTATTCAAACTGGAAAGCCTGAGTTACCCTCATGGCTTTACAGAAATGTTCCCAAACTTCCCAGTACATAAATATGTGCAGGGAGATTCCACCCTACAGAGTTTTTATTCAGAGGGTCTGGAGTGAACCTCAGGAATTTGCTTGTTATGTGGATTTTTAAATGATTTTTAAAGTTTGCACTGTAAAATTCACTCATTGGGGTGTACAAGAAGTATTTTTTGAATACATACTGTGTGCCCCTCACTGTTCTAAACAAAAAAAAATAGAATAGGGAACAACAGCAACAAAAAAAGGCCCTGCTCTCATGTGGCTTCATTCTAGTGTAGGTAACAAAAAGAAAATTAATAACTCCAAGTAGTGATAAGTGCTGTAAAGAAAGTAAACTAGGAAAAGGCAAAGGCAGAGAACGCTGGCAGTTTAAATACGGTGCCAAGGACGTTTTTTTCTAAGATACCAACATTTGAGCTGATCCTTGAGTTATGGGGCTGAAGGGAGTGGGGGAGCCAGCCATGTTAAGATCTTGGAGAACATTCCAGTCTAAGAGAATGGCAAAAGTAAAGACTGTGAGGTCAAAAACAAAAAATTTAGTATGGCATGCACATATTTATTATTCTATTGAAGAGATATTCATTGAATGTGTGCCAAATGCCAGACACTGTCTTAGATGCTCTGGGATTTGTCAATTAACGCTATAGACAAAAGGACAGACACAACACAGAAATCCATGCCTTGACTGAGCTTTCAGACTAACACACTGAGAAACAGCAAGCAGGCCAGAGGTGCTGGAACACAGGACAGAGTGATACAAGAAAGCGTGTAGTGCTACAAGGATCCAGTGATACAAGAAAACTTGGGGAACTACGTATGGGACAGACCACATAAGGCTTTGAAGCCTATGGTATTGGAATTATTATTTAAAGTGCAGTTTAATAGGATTATTGACTAAGTGTGGGAATTAAAAGAAAAAAGTGCAACTTAAACTTGTTGGAGGTTTTAAGTAAGGGAGTAACACAGCTTTTTCTTTCAAAAGAACTCTGGCTGCTCTAGCGTGCTGATTTTGTTAGGGGAGAGGGCAAGAGACAAGGAGTCTGTGGCAATATGCTCTAAACAAGAAACGGCCCATCCTGACTAAAATAGAAGTCGCTTAAATGGGGAGAAGTGTATGGACACCAGATATATTTTGGAGGTGAAGCCACAGAACTTGCAAACGGATAAGATACGGAACAGAATGGGAGTTGCTCGTGACAAGGGAGTCATCGAGAATGATTTATAAGGTTGAAAATTGAGTGGCTAATAAATGGTGATGCCTAAAATGAGATTAGGAACACTGGGAGATAAATGGTTAGAAAATCAAGAGTTGTATTGTAGCCATGTTAAATTTAAAATATCTTTTGGAAAATCCAACTAGATACAACACGTTGGCAGCTGGAATCCAAAAGAGAGAACAGGGCTGGAAATATAATTGTAGAAATACACTTCATCAGATTCTACATTGTATTTAAATACACAGGATTAGATGTGATCCTCTAATTAGGAGTGTGTATATAGAGAAGACAAGTGTATCCAGGACTAAGCTCTTGGGAGCTGCTGAATTTAGAGGTGGATAACAGGAAGGCAGCCATCAAAAAGTCTGAGAATGAAATAACACAGGAGGAGAACCTGGAGAGGATGGCTGAGAAGGCAAGGGAAGACAGCGTTTCAAGAAGGATGTTGTGGCCAGCTGTAGCAAATGTTGCTGAGAGCTGATGATAACAAGTTAACCTGTGGATCTGGAAAGATGGAGGTGAAAATCCCTGCTAACTTTGACAATAGTGCCTTCAAGGGAGAACGAGGAAGCTTACTGGGAGTTGCCTGAAGAAAGCATGGGAGGTGAAGAGTCACATCTGTTGCCAATAGTATAGCAGATAAGAGAGGCCAACAAAAACAGCTAATATGCTGCAGCCAGCTATGATCACACCATTTCACTGCAGCCCAGATGACAGAGCAAGACCCCGCCTCCAAAAGAAAAAAAATTATGTCATGAAACACAAAGAAAGCCCAAAAAACTGTTCCAGCTTAAAGGAAAATAAAAAGACAGCACTAGGCCAGACATGGTGGCTCACGCCTATAATCCCAGCACTTTGGGAGGCTGAAGAAGGAGGATAGCTTGAGATCAGGAGTTGGAGACCAACCTGGGCAACATGGTGAGACCCTGCCTGTACAAAAATAATTTAAAATTAGCCAGGTGTGCTGGCATGTACCTGTAATCCTAGCTCCTTGGGAGGCTGAGGTGGGAGGATTATTTGCATCTGGGAGTTGGAGGCTGTGGTGAGCCATGTTTGCACCCTTCACTACCACCTGGGTGACAGAGCAAGACCCTGTCTCAAGAAAATAAAAAACAAAACAAAAAAAACACCTAAATGAAAGATATGCCCTGGATTGGATCCTAGATCAGGAAAAAGCATTTCTTATAGATATAAAGGATGTTAGTAGATCAACTAACTGGTCACATTGGAATAAGGTCTGTGGATTAAAGGATGCTGGAATAATGTATAAATGTTCATTTCCTGATTATGGTCATTGTAATATGAATATATAGAAATATATCTGCTTTTAGGAAAAAACACACTGAGCAAAGGGGATATAGATCTGCAATTTACAGTCAGACCTTTCAGAAAAAGAAAGAAGTATGTATACACACATACATGCAAAGAGAGAAAATGAAAAACCAAACATT